CCAATGAACTTCATGCCAGTTACCAACCGTTCCCTGACTGGAATTCCAGCATACAACCGGTGTGGTATAAGCAATTGTTCATGTTTACCACCCGAGGCGTACGAATGTTCCGCCCAAACCGCTCGCCTTAGTTAGGATTCTACCCCCTGGAGCAATTTAGTCATGATTATTGAGTTGAGAAGTTGAGAATGGGAACTGGGGGCGTTGAAGGTCGAGAGGGGCGGGGGGAGGCGGGACGGGGGTGAATTTTGTGATTTGCCTTTTCCACATCTCCAAATGTATGACTTATTTCACTTTCTAGCTCCCATCCACGCAATATGGAAATTGGCACCTTTCTTCTACAACCTAACACAACCCAAACCAAACTCCCTTTCCCAAGCCAACCCCCCTATTTCTCCCCCTCTCCCTCCCCCCCAAGATACGCCACAACCTCCACCTCGACCCTCATCCCCGGCACGCCCAACCCCGCCACCGCCACGCCCGTCAACAGCGGCTTGTGCGTCTCGCCCGCCCACTTGCGCATGCTGGCCGCCCACGCCGTGAACGCCTCCTCGCTCAGCTCCGTCGTGTACAGGTTGACCTTGTACACCTGCCCCCACCCGTTCCCGCCCGCCGCCCGCAGGCACGCGTCCACGTTGGCGAAGGCTTGCTCGATCTCGGCGGTGAGAGAGGCGGGGATCGCGCCGGTGATCGGATCCCAGCCGCCTGGGGGTGGTTAGTGGTTAACTAGGGACCTGGTTTGTGGGTTTGGGTTCATTTGGGGGTACCTTGGCCGGAGCACTCGATTCGGTCCCCGATGCGGACGGCTTGGTTGTAGTGGGACTTTTCGGAGAGGATGCGGGTGAAGGGGGAGTAGTCAAAGTATTGGGGGGTGGGCATGGTGGGCGGTGTGGTTGTGGTATGGGCCGGGTGTGGTGGTGAGGTTATGATTCTACGAAGGAATGGTGAGATGGTTAAGCACAGATGAAAGCCACCAGTGTCAGATATGAGGCAATGGTCGGTATCGAGTACCTGGTTTTAAATGGCTTGTCATCGAGGGGAAACGGCCCGGCTTTATACACTCGCTATGGACCTGAGATCACCACTCGCTTCACCAAATTCACACACTTTAGCCGATCTTCTCGTCCCTGTATCGCCCCCCTCCTGATTTGCTCGCTCGGATGTTGTGTTAGAAATCAACGGCCAAGCTTCCTTTCGTGGGTCCAGAAGCGGAGGAGATGCCTCCTTGGCGAGCGCAGGCACTGGTGTTTCTCGTCTTGTGCGGCGCTCGCTTATCTGTACTACCGGCGCCGGCAATCCCATCGTGTCTTGGCTGCATGGCAATTCCTCCGTGTAGGGCTGAACTTCGGCTCGGGATTGGGGTTGCGCCGGGTGGTCCATCTTGGTGGCATACACCTCCGCCGGGGTCACAAATCAAACAAATCAGGGGTTTAGCGAGGGGATAGTTAACTGTTATTCTGGCATTTTCTGTTCAATGACCAGGATTTATAAAGGTTAATTGACGAACCTTAGAGCTCATCAACGACGATATGGATAAATTAACTTTGACTGTCTTAACGACGCGTCATCAGAACAAAGTATGATGGTATATCGTATACGCAGTATGCATGTAAGAACCCAATAGGCGACGTTACTAGTCTATTACTCTATCGCTAACCCGCAAGTATTTACATCAAGTCTCAATACAGCCCCGAACCAGCCGTGGATGCTCCGTTATGCCATACCGGGATCACCTCCGTATGAAACCCGCCACCCACCCAGTCAGTATTGCTACTGAAAAGACATGAACAAACCAATGACTCGGTCGGCCCCAACCGTCAGTGCTCTCTTTGGTCGTCATCGCAGGCCCTGCGGCTTGCTCAGACCTGCGCAGGGAAGTCAGATGCAGAGGTTACACCCAAAGGCGAAACGCTGCTGCCACATGAGCCTCCCGGGGCAGTTAGCTCTCATCATCCGGTTATGCCCCGCTGTTGATACTTGATACCATCAATGACGAAATCCAAGAGCCACCGCTGCTCATCTCTTCCCCTTCGCTGTGGCATTCACGAGCCGCTTCTTGACCGCCTTGGGGATCTTCTCCTTGCGCTTCTCCCGCTTCTCCTCCTTCACGGCCATCTTGTGCTGCCGCTTCTCGTCCTTGTCCTCGTGCTTCTTCCCCCTCGGCACACCCTTCTCGAAGTGCACCCATTCTTCGTCGCCGTCTGTCCCTTCCTCCGAGTCCTGCAGCTCCTCTTCGCTGGGCTTGCCGTCGATGACGACTTGGCGCGCCAGCATGTGCTTGTACACCAGTGAATCCACTGGCTTGTCGAGCTCCTGTTCGATGTCATACACCTCGTCCAGGGTCTGGGGAATGAACTGGTTGCGGAAGACCTCCGTGTCGACCTCCACCTCGGCGGCAGCCTCGTCTGTCTCAGCGATGGTGGGGCGAACCTCGTAGAGATGGTTAATCGCCTCGGTCAATGACGGGCCGTCCACAGGTCCTTCTCGAGCTGTGATGAAGTTGAAAATGGCGCGGTCTGATAGGGTGTCGACGCCCTGGCGACGGAAGAAATCGCCCACGTTCTTAATGTCCATGCGGAGAAATGAGAGCGAGTGCGGGTGATCGTGCTCGACGGACTGGGAGACGTCGATGATGTAGAGCTTCTTGTCATTGTACAGGATGTTGTACTCGCTCAGATCGGCGTGGACCAGGTTGCAGACCTGGTAGAGGCGGCGCATGATGGCAAGCAGTTGGATGTAAAGGTTATGCCACTGCTCGTCGACGTCATCGCCCGTGAGGCGGGCGTCCCGCAGGCGTGGGAAGGCGTAGCCCCGCTTGTCGCCCAGGAACTCCATCACTAGCACGTGGAGCTTAAGCATGAGTGGCTCTGGGCAAGCAATACCAGCGGCGTGTAGGCGGCGGAGGTTGCGGAACTCCTTTTCGGCCCAGAGCTGGACCATCTTGCGGTGGTTTCCCTTTTCGGAGCCGCCCTTGAAGCGATGCTCACCGGCGATGTAGCGCTCTCGGTCCTTGAAGACCAGGATGGCTGTCTTGTAAATCTTGATGGCGCGTTGGATGGGGAGGCTGTTGATGTCGGGGCATAGCACGGCGCCGTATACATTGGCTTCCTTGCCTGTGCTGATAGCACCGTGAATCTCACTGACCACGCCGCGGTTGATCATCTGGAGCAGGATCATGCGAGTGCGCTGGTCGAGCACCAGCTCGGCGGTGGCACGGTCCGCCTTGTCCTTGTCACGCTCCTGGGTTTGCTTGACATCATCGAGACGGATCTTGGCGGCGTGCTTGGACAGCGCGGCGACCTGGTCATCGACGCTCGCAAAGGTGTTTGCCGTCGGCTTCTGGGCGTGGGAAGCAGGAGCGCCAGTGGTAGCCTGGGAAGTGGAATTGTGAACCTGATGCTGGCGGTTGTAGGACTTGGTGAGATCAGAGGAGGGGCCGTCTAGAAAATCATTGTCCAGCTCATCGGCCGAATTGAAGACGTCGTCGAGGTCGTTGTCATCATCGTGGTGAGGGTAATCGGCTGCCATGGCCATATTGATATTAAAACCGGTCTTAAACTGGGGTTTTCTGGTGAGCCGCCCTTGGTTTGCGAGATTTTGACGGTGACGCAACTGAGTCCGCAGCCGCTTGTCATCGTTGGAGCACCAGATTGCCATGTTGAATTAATTTTTGGCGGGGTGCTGGCTTATCTTATCGGGTGATCGAAAAAGGCGCTAACTGGTTTGGGAAACTGCGTCCAAGTTCAGCTTAAGGGTCGAAATCGACGATAGAACAGAACTTGGGCAGATGAGACGACAAAAAGTTGGGGAATGAGTTCAGAAATTTCGCGGAGGGGAGCTCCCTATTTAAACCCCTTCAAAAATTCACGGACCTATTCTGTGACTCATAGTGTGCTCGGACATCAAGAAGAAGTGTAGGTGCGTAGATATCCATAGAGGTCTGGTGCTTCTTGGGGTCAATCTAAGTCTGAGCGCATCACGGGAAATAGGTGAGCACCTAGGCAATCGCCCAGGCAATCACCGATCTAACGACGTTTAGGGGACAAAGTGTCGGTGCGTAGTGTTCTGAGTTCTAGGGCATTCTGGCGGCATCTCGGAGTCGAAATCTATTACCACTACAGAGATGATGAAACTTGGCCGTTTGAGCGTATCATGTAAAATAGGTGGGTACCTAAGGTAAGGTAGGCAATCGCCTAAACGTCGTCAGGCGATAGTTGATATTTCAATTTCATCAGAACTCTATCAAAGCGAGTCGAGCGGTCGGACCCGCAGAAGAGAAAAGGTGGGCCCGTTGAACCCGGGAGCCGTGCTTGGTTTGTGGAGCGGCTGTCTCTCCCAGCAAGGCTGAGGTGCAAGGGTTCCTCCAGGCACAGGCAGGGCTGCCCTTTAAGCCGATGGAAGTTCTTCCTAACATCTGCACCGGAGACTGCGCAGGCTGCAATGTCTAGGCCAACTTCATCCGGCGAGCCTCGCTCCCGGCCGACATCATACCATGATCCTCCATCCCCCGGGTTTCACGCCGATGATGTCCCCGTTGAAGTCTTGGTCCAGCACCTCCTGGCCGCCAAGCAATCGCTCTCTTCGATGGCTCTCGTCCTGCGCGCCAACGACTTGTCGACCAACGCCCGCCAAATGCACGAGGACTCGGTTGTGCTGAGCGCCCAGACCGGTTTTCTACGTCGGCTTATTGATGATGAGGTGCGGGTATTGCAAAAGCTCCGGCGGGGGATGGAGCATGCGCACAAACGCGCTCGGCGCGAGTTTGGGAGGCTCATCCACGCGCTCGATGTCTCCAACGAGAAGCTCGAGAACACGATGCGGATGCTGCGGGAGACGCGAGTCGACCCCATATTTCGCCCACCAGGCGAGGAAGGCAAGTTTCTGATAGATTTTGCCGACGTGGACAGCGTCGAGGCGATGCGCGATACCTTAAAAGGGAGCATCGCCGAATTGCAGGTGAGTCGCCCTCGAACGGCCGTCGCAACAGCATTCGTTGACCCGTTGTGGTGCAGGCCGCCCAAACATCATACGACGGCGACCTCCTCCGTTTCGACAACGACCTCCGATTGCTCAACAAGAGCACAGCCGCCGCGCCCTCGACCGACTCGCCCTCTTCATCTGCCGCCTATCAGCCGATCCCCCACCTGCTTGCCGCTCTCGCCGACCACTCCGAGGCGATGGCACAGCACCTGGCGTCTCTTACAAACCACTTCGACATGTGCGTTAAAGCAGTCCGTGCAACCGAAGGGGGCGCCGCCCTCGCACGCCGCCGCGCAGCCGAAGCGACCGACGACGGCGAGCCCGTGTCGATATCCGGTTTTATAACAGAACAAGAATCACACCTCACCGAGCTGGAACCGATGGACCCGCAGGAGCTGGTGGAGATTGTACAAGTAGTCATGGAAGACGCCCCCGAGGTGGACGAGGTCGTGGCCGAGATCCAGGCGGTGCTGCAGCAGGCAGAGCAGGATTTTGACACGCTCAAAGAGCAAGCTGGCCGGATTGGCGGCACGTGGACGGCCACGCTCGGTGCCTTCCAGGTGCTCGACGATATCGGAGCGCGACTGCGAAGCTATGTAGCGGCCGAGCACGAGTTCGAGCAGCGCTGGGAGGCGGAGAAGGACGTCATCTACGCGAAGCTCCAGGAGATGGATGGGCTGAAGGTGTTTTACGAGGGGGTACGCGAGGGCTTACAGCAGTCTGATGCTGGAGGCGGAGAGGCGGCGGGGCGTAGAGGAAACAAGATCCGCAATACGCTGCGCAAGGCGAAGGAGAATGTGGACAACCTCGTCGAGGCGGATCGAAAGCAGCGGGAGTATTTCCGGCAGGAAGTCGGAGAGTTCCTACCGACGGATCTCTGGGTGGGTATGAACAACCCGTTGCAGCGATGGGAGCTGGCGCCAGTCCAGGGGGGTGGGGCTGCTTCCCAATCGCAAGACGAGTTGGTCACGCCCACGGTGGCGAGGCCGTCTACGGGCAAGGCACCGGTGCGGTGATCGAGTGTATGGATATTCATCATTATTGTTATTATTATGGACGGGCTGGATGGCGGCGTTGGTTTTGGAGTACTTCCTTGGGCATACCCAGCGGGACAAGGCTGGGCTGGACAGGCGCGGTGTATTGTATATCGGAATACTGATACGATCCTATCTTTCTCGTGGCTCTGCACCTTTGCTTTTATTTCAGCGCTGGGAGCAGGTTGACTTTTCTTGGTGATCATCCCGGCAATCCCCTCATCCCGGCACACCTCCCGGGCCGCCTGGAGATTGCGGCAGATCCACACCGCCGTGCGGGCCCACCTAACCAATCTCCAGCTTCAGCTCGGCGACTCTCAACAACACACCACGACCTGAACCACAACAACGAGAACGCCCAACTCCCACTTCACGCCCCAGGCCTCAATTCTGCCTCACACCACTTACATTCAAAAATACCTCCCCCAAAATGCCGCCCCCAACCACCACCAAGCGCAAACCCTCACCCGCACCCACCACCACCACCACACCCCCAACCCTCTCCCCAACCCTCCCCCTCTGGTCCGCCACCTCCCACGGCACCCCCCGCCAAGCCCTAACCTCCACCCAGCCCACCCTGTTCTCGCCTCTCTCTCCCTCGCGTTACCCCTCAACTCTGCCCACCTCCTCGTTCGCATCATTTGCGTCGCCCTCAACACGGCCGACCTCCTTTGGTGGCGACTGCTGTCCGCCTGTGTACCCTTCCGTTATGCGCCTCTGTCGGGGCTGGATTCTGTGTGGGAAGTGGTAGCTGTGCGCGCGGGGGTGACTCGGGGAGGGTATGAAGGGG